ATGTTTTTTTTATCTTAGGTTTTATGGACTCGTGGACGGAGTCAACGAGAACAGCGCTTCATCTGCCGTTCCTAAAAAAACCTAGCGAGTTCCCGTTTCAGTTTTACCGATGCAACATGGAACGGAGGCGTTACATCGTTCCTTTCAGGAGGAACGGGTCCCGGGAACCTCGTTCCCTGGAATACCGTTCCGTGCAACATTGGGATGGACACTTTGGCAAAATTCACTATCCTTCCAAAAGCTTTTTTTTTTCTTCTTTCTTTTGTTCAAGCGCACTTATTTTCTTTTTACTGTCCGCTGTTACTGATAGCTCGATTCGATGGTAGTTTTGGATCGTATTGCTTAATACTCAAAGCCCTTATTATACAGAGTGTTTGCCGAAAATCACGAGTCGAGCGTTTCGCTCCGCGGAATGCTGAACCACAAATCTCGGGATGCAGCGCTAGCGGTCCGAGTATGATTCCAAAGCTTCAAAATTTAACATTATTATTAGCCGGTCTGAAAGGTAAATTTTCGAGAACTTTAAGCGAGAAAAGTGTGTTCATTTTTGACGCAGATAGTCCTTATACCCAACCCTTCGATGGCTTCCTTTAGCCGACATTTTACCCATTGCAAATTTTAGAAAAAAAAAATAAAATAAGACTCGTCATACTTACCCCCTCGTGGGCTTCGTCTAAGGGGATAAGGAGTATGGCGACGGCAAATACATAAAGACGCTGCTTAATTGTTGCGTATAGTTTTTCTCTTTGTTATACAGGCAGAGCAGTATTACGCCTGGTTTATTGTTCCAACTCAATCAGGTGATGAGCACGATCTCTACCTAATTATGGACCAACTTCATTAACCAGTGTTCCTTGCAAAATGTTTTAGCATATAATTTATTTTAACCTCGTTATTTTTTTTTTTTAATTATTCATTTTTTACCTTATGTCAACCAGGTTTACCTAAAACTTACTCGTGTAAGACGCAACTTATTTCTTATTTAATTTACGCAAGAGCTTTATTGTACTTTCGAGAATGGTTTTCTTATAGACTGCATATTTCTTTTTGTCTAAAGCTTTCGATAATGTTTCTTACCAGCTACTTCGTCTGAAGTTAGGTAAATTAAACATTGACCGGAATATCATAGAGGTAAATTAAACATTACCAGAACATCATCGGGTGAATCGACCATTTTTTGTCTAACACAACCCAATTCGTAACTAACGACTTCCAATCCTCAACTTGTCCTGTTGACTCTGGTTTGCCGCAAGGCTCAGTTCTTGGCCCCCCGCTTTTTCCTGTATGCATAAACGATTTAGTTAACACTATAAATTTATCAATTACGTTGTTTGCGACAATTGTGTCGTTTTTTTTATTTTTATTTTCTCCTCTAGTGTTGATACCTCCCTATCTTAATATAACCAAAACACATTTTTATATTGCTGTAGCTCGTGAAAACTGCGACTTAATAATAACAAGTGTAAATTATTGACAATTTTGCGCCACCCAGTTCGTAGCAGTGTTGGACAAAATACTCGATAAAAGTATTTAAGTTACGTTACTAAATACTTGCATCATAAAGTATTTAAAATACTATTCAAGTTACTTTCACTCTAAAGTATCTTGAGTAGAATACAAATACTTAGAAATGTAATTTAATTACTCTTCAAGATACTTCCGCATTGCTTAATTTGTGTCGACGTCATTGACAACGTCAATTATACAGCTGCGAAAATCTGGTTTACCAGAATGGTTTATTAGCACGCAACAACACAAAACGAAAAGGAAAAAAAAAGTATCGCACAGTTATTTTATGCAGTCATATCATAAGGAGCAGGATATTGTCACGAAAAAAAAAATGATGAGGCGGGGAGTGACTGAAGAAACTAAACATTTGATGGGGCGAACCTCTGCCCAAAACAAAATAGGCAAAGACTAGCGTCACAGGCGTCGATGTCGGCGAAACAGCAGGATCAAGCGCTGGGGCGAGACTGACTCTGGACCGCCACACGGAGCACCTTTTGTACCCGCGTGGATTTCTAGAACATTCGGCGTAGAACATTCGTAACTCGATCAGACGACAAGGTTTTCAACTTCCGAGAATGTCAAGTTGAAAGAATAAATAAAAAGAGGACACTGCACCCTGGAATCGAACCCGGAGCCTCTGCGCGAGAGCCAAGCGCGACAACCATTAGGACACGCATTCGCTCTGCAACGCGCGTGGCAATATCGCTGAAAATGTTGCAAAAATATCTCTGGGACAAAAAGAAAGGTCGCTTTGGGGAGGGGATCATACCGTGGCGTCCTTAGCGGTTAACTTTAGAACCACATCGATGGGGACAACAAATACAATGACTCAGCGCTTGGCTACATGACCGAATGCGGCGTCAGCGTTCGGCTGGAGTTCGTGTTCTCCGGTGAGGGGGAGGAAGAGGGGGAGGCTCTTTTGTTACCACTCCGGCTTGCATGAAGAATGCAGCATGCACGGCCCTCAGCTCAGCACAAGAGCCGAAGTGGGTCGAGCTCGGATCTTCTGACGACTGCTTTCGGGAAAGATCCGGCACTAACGTCACTTCGTTTATTGTTTGTACTTTTACATTACACTGTGCCCCACGCTCTATTGAAGAAAATGGCATAAAAATTCTTACAAGGCCTGTGGGCACGTGCACAGGCCTTGTGTGGGGTAAACAACGAAGTGTGGGGACAACAAACGGGACAAAGCGCGTCGCCAATAGGCAGCCGGCAACGGCCAGGCGGCGCCAGCAGGGTGAGAGCGCACGGTTATACCATATCTCGTTGTAACTTGGCAAACGGCGAACAATAAGCCCCACATTGCGTGCCGAAGGCTTCGAAATGCGCGACGTATACGAGCGCAACGAACACATATTGCAGCATGACGCAGCAAAAAGCCTGATATTTCTTCGGAGTTGAGGCGCGCTCCGGTGATACGCAGTCACGTTCCGATTGGCCCGCCAGGGCCGTAGCTTCCGCTCTACTGGCACGTTACGCGATCACGGCTTCCTGGGATACCCATGGAGTATTTCTTGCTTCAGACACTAGGCTCAGCGGCGCCACCAGAGTAATAGCTCACGTTTGAACAATGCAGCCGCCACTCCCAGGGGTACCCAATATTTCTGGCTTCAGTTGCTAGATGGCGCCACACCGAACAGCATTGCAGGTTACCTATAGTGACATCGCTGAATATCACGTCCTGCGGCGCACCTTAGACGCATCGTTTAACTACAATCCATATTCCCTCTAAACGAACTTGGAATACGGATATGAGTGAATGGATAAAAAAGATAACCTACATAATAGCCACGTCAGTGGTCGCACCTTCAAGTAGGTAGCGTTCAGAAGGGCGCTCAACGCTGCGGGACGCTTTGTTGGCATTTTGAGTGGTTATCCAGCTCGTAGTTCATTTCCGGTCCTGTTCTATCCCTAAGAATGATTGTTTACAGACAGTGTTCGCGAGAGCAATAAGTGCCGGACTAACGCCACAAAGAAAAAAAAAGAAAAAAAACACCTCGACGTTTTGCAGTAGCGTTGTCAAATAGGCAAGCAAAAAAAAAAAAAAGTCTTATTTTTGTGTTTACTTTTCATTTTGTTTTCTATTTGTTATTTTCTTGAAGCTCAAGTCTGCATTGTTGTCGTAGGTCGTTTCCCGGTCTGCGTTAAGCCTCAGTGTGGCAATCTTTTTCTTCCGTAAAACCACCCCCTTTGTTTGAATATTTTTGAAGGGAAACTCTGGGGAACAAAAAGGCGCCTTGGGAAGGCGAGGAGAAAACCTTCATTTTACGAGCTTTGGAGTGAAATATTAATCAAAATCGCAAAAAAGCGATGTTCTCACGATCTCAATCAAAGCCACCGTAGCTAATCGGAGCTAGCGCCAGGATTTGGTTGCTCGAAACAATGTTTACGTTTGCTCGTGCCACGCCCACGCCACTTCATACTGAAAAAGTCGTAAAATGGCGGAATGTGAAAAATGTATTTGGGATAATGAGTACAAGATACTCAGATTTGTAATTAAGGTAGAGTATCAAATACTCTAGATCAAAAGTATTTGCAAGATACCAAGATACTTCAAAAATTATTTGAAATACACTATCTTGAGTAGAGTATTTGAGATAGGCACAAGTCTGGTCCGTAGTAACGTTTTTACCTACAACTCTGCAGGTTCTGCCCTAGAGGTGGTAAGACATCCTATAAGTAAAAGGCAATCGTTCAACCGCCAACTTCTTCTAGGAAACACACATTAATTATAGAGCTAACAACGCTAATAACATGCTTGGATATTTACTTCGTAACTTCTCTATAATGTCTTCACCTGTCAAACTTTTACTATACAAAACTTTCGTTCGTTTTAAACTTGATTGTGCATCATTAGTATGAGATCCAGGCCCTAAATATTTTGTAAATAGCCTAGAAGCAATACAAAATTGCAGTCCACGTTTTATTTTTTCTAACTACACTCGTTTTATCAAGTATATCATTAGTGAAAACTAATTCAAATATCGCTCATCTTGTCCTAGAAAGAAAAGTTGCACGTCTAGGTCTATTTAACAAAAAGGTACCATTGTAATCAGCCACTCAAAAGAGAGCTTTTTTTGTGGTGTCATATTCATCCTCTCGTACAGATCACCGTCATAAAGTAAATATCCCTCATTCTTGTATTAACATGTTTCTTTTCCTTCATCGATACCAAAGACCAGGGCTGAATAGAACCACCTGCCCAACTCTATTGTCACTATCACCGACGCATCAGTTCTCAAATTCGCCATAGAATACTATTTTTTCTCTAACCTACGTTTGTTGTTCCTTTGTTGTGTTTCTCCAATTGTATGTATGTCTGTCTACTTTCCACTCCCATATGTAAGGCCTGCTGGGCCTTAAAGGTGATGGAATAAATAAACTGATATAAACATGCCACCCCACGGATGATGGGCCTATACGGTGTTTGAAATAGGTTGTTCAGCGTCCCTTCAGGGACGGCTCAACAGTCTCGCCAGCGAACTAAGTTGCAATCGTCCTTTTTTCTGATTCGCAGCCTGCTCCGGCCAGGTGTCCATAGCGACCGCAGGCGTGCCGCTCTAGGATGCTGCCAGAATCCGCGGCCGACGGTCTCAACACTCTGGGTGATGACCCGGGCCTGCCGGCGTCTGCAAGGCTGGCCGAGGCGCTCATTCTGCTCATCATCTGCGTGAGCGTGGTGGCCGCCAACGTGCTGGTCATTGCCACGCTGTTGTACACGACGCGTGAGGTGCTTGACTACTACCTCATCTCCCTAGCCGTAGCCGACCTGCTGTGCGGGGTACTCATCGTGCCGCTGTCCGTGTACCCGGCCATCGCGCAGGACTGGGTCTACGGGGACTTCGTGTGCCGGCTGAGCGGCTATGTGGCCGTGACATTGTGGAGCGTGAGCGTGTACAGTTTCATGTGGCTCTCGGTGGACCGGTACCTCGCCATCCGCAAGCCGCTGCGCTACGACACCATCCAGACGCGCACCCGCTGCCAGTGCTGGATGCTCTTCACCTGGATGACCTCCATGTTCATGTACTGCCCGCCCCTGTTCGGCTTCTCCAACGGCCACTTCTACCGGGACGCTTACGTGTGCATGCTCGACTTGTCCAGCATTCTGCCGTACACGCTCACGCTCGCGCTGCTGGTGCTGGTGCCGAGCGTGCTTACGGTGATTTACACTTACTTCTTCATCTTCACCACGATGCGCAAGATGCGCAAGTGCCTCAGCAAGGAGGAGAAGGAGTACGCGACCGCCATCGGCGAGCATCTGTCCAATCCGGACCACATCATGTCCTTCGTCATCATCGTTCTTTTTTGGCTTTCCTGGCTGCCCTGGATCTGCCTGCAGATCTACGAGAAGGCCGAGGGGCAACGGCTACGCTTTCATGCACTGCACTTCGGCCTGCTGTGGCTCGGGGTGCTTGACTGCCTGTGGAAGCCGCTCGTCTACATCACCATGAGTCCCAAGTTTAGGCTCGGTGTTCAACTTCTCTTCATGTCGATCTGCTGCAGACACAAGTCACGCCAGCATCTCATCGTCTAGTGTTACCTAGATGAACGGCACCGCAGCGGATTATCTTCTGCCGGTGGAACACGTCACTTCACTAATGCGGAACAGTGTCAGAGACCCCGGGTATAATATTCCAAAAAGAACCTTTCAATGTTGTGCGCTGACTTTATCATCTTTTGGCAACTGTTCCGTCTTGTTCGTGCATGAGACTAAGGAAATGCCATCGAAATATCCCCTTAATTTACTGAACCCATGTGCTTAACACGCTTGAGATAGAGAAGAGGATGAATTACTTGTTTCTCCTTATGCATTCAGCTAAATTGAACAAAACCTTTATGTTTGTATTCTCCTGGCTTAACGATACCCTCATGAAGACGACGTTGCCGTTCTAATTGAGACTACGTCTTTCTGAGGCTCAATATGGTCCTGAATCATCATGGAGAGTTTTGGCCCCACCCTTCAGAGACGAGCATTTGAAGAACACGCGAAAGTCCGTCTCTTCCATGTTACGTTATCCTGTTGAAAGATCGAAACAGCAGGTTTTTGTCGGATGAACTTATTTATACTTGAGGTCTAAGACAGTTGCGCCTGCATGACGCCCGAAGGGAAGAGACGGTTAACGAGCTAAGCATTCTTCAGTATAAAAGGCCCCAGTCTTTTTCTAAATAAACGTTCACTTCTCTGGTTGTGACACCTAGTTCCATACTCTTAGCTGCGTCTGAAGCAACGGGTGAAGTAGAAAGCGTTGTGATACACGTGTGTTCGCGCGCCATTGCGGTTTCGCCACCGCATGTCGCATGCCTTCCTTGTGTAGTGGCATCTTCTAATGTCCGAATGTTCGAAGTCTTAGTGGATCGAGTCTCAACGCTCCCGGACCATCGATCGCGAGGTCCTTGGTTCAAAGGGTGTCAAATTGATCATTTATGTTTCTACCAACTCAATGTATATCTTTGGTAAGCATTAGGATGAGCCGAAACGACATTGTCCCGTGAATTAACACGCAGGTTTCTCTGCTAGGTCTCCGGTATTGTCGTGCCGTAATGATTGCACGTGATACAGTTCTTTAGTTTACAATGAAATATTTCCCGTCATTTAAGTGCACAGAGTGTAAAGTTATCAGTTTGAGTTAGTTTGAATATACTTAATTAAGACGTCTTACATTATTTTTCGAGATATTTCTAAGGGTTCTGTTAAAGCACTGACAACGCACACTGTCATTGAGGCATTGTCATCCTGCGAAATTTTATTTCACCCTGCGCATGTGACTTGATCCACTCAGCCATACCCTAGCGTGTTTTGCTCCCAAAAATCATTCAATCTGTGGTACTGTCGATGTTGCCGTTGTCAGCATATAATGGAACGCCCTTCGTTGTTGAACAAACTGCTCACACGTTATACACAGACATATCTAGCGTTTTAATCCAATCAAATTTCTAGATGTGGACTATTTTTGTCAGACATTTTAAGGAACCGGAATTAGACGAGTAGCTTTCCGCGTCGGCTGTTCCACAGAAGCATGGCCATGTTCAAAGTACGCCACAGTCTGGAGTCGCAGATCTTTATGAATACCAGCTAGGTGTAGAGAACTATTTCGCCATTCACGATAGCCAGAACTAAAAGACATCCGCCATTTTACCTCGACATTTAGCGACTGTCCGCCATTTTCCGTCCACTAGAAATATAGTAAACAAATTAAGAGCTCATTTTATGAAGATACCTTACAAGTCTTCGTTTGTTAGCCATATTTATAGTAACACATTAAAGCAGCAGTGACTTTTGAGAAAGTTTCAGGCACATGCAGTTCTATTTGAAAATAAAAAAGAACTTGTGGCTCTAGAAATTCTCGACGTGACGGTCGTATTACTTTATGTCGCCCTTGTTTTGACATTATTTTTTGTTGGCTAAGTAATAGAATCAATTTTCACTACTTCAGTAGTCATTGTCATATATACATGGCCTGCACGTGGCGTCGTCGCATCTTGTTGGTAGTCACACCTACTTCTTGCCAAAAAACAAAAAACAACTTTTGCGGTGCGAAATGCATATTGCAGAATGAAAAAGGCTCAGTGACAAGGTTAGCACAATGTCAGATGATGTGACGTCAGTACAAATCGTGTATATGTTGCAATGCATAAAACACTATTTGTCATTAACGTTTAGAATATTTTCTTTCGAATCTTCGTTCTGGAATCTTTAAAAAATCCTACATTAAAGCCTCCGAACGAAAGTCAACGTTTCATAAAAATATGTTTAGCCTTAATCAGACACTTGCGACTTGTCCTGTATATGAGGACACAGCATGCAAAGAGAAGGAAACAAAATTAGAAACTGACTCATCCTTTCTTTTGTGTTTTTATATTGTTGTTTATGAATTGTGAGTTGATATTGCATTTGAAATATTTACCTTCCGTCATTTAAAACTGGGTTTTACAAAAAAAAATGATTTCACCGTATTTTGTTTTGTGCACCGCCTTTAACACAGGGTTTAGGAAGGAACTGATTCACAAGGACGACGACGGCCAAACCACATGATGAGATATTTTCTAGTCGTCAAGATGGTTTCTGGTTTTAATTAGTATCACGTATGGTTTCACCTACAGGTAGCCCACGAATCAGTTCTAGAAAAAATGTGAGCGTTTACTTCCATCGGTACAATCAGATTTTTAAGCTAGGAACAGTGGCGGGAAAAGGACGAGTTCTTGCTGGACAGTTTTCTAGAACGGTTGTCGAGAGTAGATTTTCGGAAACGTAGTGGATGGAAGCTTATGTACATGCTACACGATCAAAGTGGAGAATCGAGAGACGTAGGTGTACCCGGAAAATGGCGGAAGTGTGATCGACGTCATTTGGTGGTGGCTGTGCGTGCAATTTCGGGACGCAAGGTGAGGGGAATTCTCGACGTGCTCGTTCGCTCGTCTATATCTTATGGGAGCCCTGATTGCCTGGGTGGTGACTTTGAATAGGTTCCAGCGTCTCGCTAATCTAAGACAGGCGATCTTAGAAGCTGTACATTGTGTTTAATATGTGACTACAGTCAGCGTTGCCAACCGAGGAGCTCAACGACTCCACGTCTTTCTATTGTAAGGGCGTGAACCGCAGGTTCAGAAGGAGCTTGTAAGCTGCAGTTTCCTTACGTCGTCCAGACGATATTGCGGGATGCAGAATGTATCACGCCTTTGAAACCTAGGTGATAGACCGTGACTGACAACGTCAAAGGTGAATATGTACCCCATACCAGGAACACTGAACACTCCATTGCTTATGGTGACTGGTGACTCTTCACTTGAAAGGTCGGCGCTATTTGATTTCTAGACTTTGCTCATTCTAAGGAGGTACCTTTCAAGAAATATGAGAAAACTGCGTCCGAAATGAGCGGAGGATGTGTAAGATAATTGAAATAGCGGGATCACAGTGTGCTGCAGAAGGTGAGTAGAAATGTTTCAGTGAAGTGACTTATCGAAGATCATCAGTCTAGCATTGCGTAGCAAAACACTTAGCTCCAGATACGAGGGGTATTTCAACAGTTTTGCACACTGCAGATGCGAGGCGAGTACGAGTATGCAGCTGTTTTGGTTTCTCCAAGTTGGGATTCAGACCTTAGTCTAGGAGAGCCTGAGTGCGTTTTCTGCCTACCTGATTCCATTTCTAAAAAAGAAGGCCTTCAAATGAAAGAAAGTAATTAAGTCAAATATCGCTTAATATCCAAGGTTTCCACAGAACACTTGACAGTCTGAGTGGAAGAATCCAAATTCATAATTCCTTGCTTGAAATCAAAGTGTCCAAGGAACCCCTGGAGCCTCCAAAATCTACAAACTGCTTCAACGAGAGTTTTTGCATTCGAAGATTTGGCGAAGAAAGTTCAATGTAGTCGCAACTAATGCCCTTATATTACACGACGTCGTGGAGTCCGCGTGCGGTCCGTGCAGTTCCAGACATCCCCAAAAATTGCGGATAGGAAATGTTCTTTCCTAATCGCCAAATAGACCTCACCTAAACCCACAAAATATTTACTTCTTCGAGAAAGTCAATATATTGTATGGATCTGCGAATACTTGTTCAAACCAAATAGCTCACAATCATAACTAGTTTCAACATTGCCATAGCCCCTTCTATACTCACCAAGCCTAGCAGTTCGACGACGAAACCTTAGAGCGTCCGGTCGCAGATTGGAAGCGCGAGGATCTCGTAGCACAGAACATAAAAGAGGCACTTCTCGGGGAACCTGGACGTCAGCGCACAGCTTTTGCAGCGGCGAGGACCCGAAAAACACTTGTTCGGTCGGGAGAAGTGTGTTTCGGCGTCTCGCCGCAGCGGGGTGCCCAGTCTCGTGGCTCTCCTCTCATTCATTGTCTGCCACTCCACCTTTTCCATTTCGGCGGCCGTTTCTCTTGGCGATCTGCCAGGCTTTGTCAGTATATAGGACGCTATGACATTGAAAATCTAGACGGTGTGTCTTAGCTTTCTCTTGCGCTGTGAAAGGTATGATGACGCGGCGTTATTTCATTTGAGCCCCTATTCGCACATTCCTACAAGAAACCGCTCCTTGGGAGACGGTTTGGTAGCAATCAAGATAGTTCTGATAAGGACCCGAATGATCAGACGCATAAGCATTGAAGGTGATCTTGCAAGAATAGGATGATTTCCAAAACCGTTGTTCCATAATAATAAAAATAAACGTAGATTTCACGAAATGCCGGTAAATGTTTTATGTTAAATAATATTTTCTTTGTTAAAAAGTTGCCTACAGTGTGCACAATCTTTGAAATGATCCTCGTATACTAAATGCGTATATTTATGTGTTTCTTTTTCTTTAAAATAAATTATAGGCTGAATACCAGGCCCATCTTGAAATTATTGCGAAACACCTAAGAGAATATGAAACGCCTTAAGTCAAAATATGCGTGCGTGTCTGTGATTTCTTTTTTTTTTTTAGAGTTTAGCAGAAACTCTAGTCTCTACTTTTTCCACTTTGAAATAAGACAACGCGATTTCGCTTTTCATATTTTGTGATTAGCGCAACTTTCCTTGCGGGGGCATTTTTTTATGACTGTTGATGAATGTTGGGTCAACTCTCGTTCTTAACGTATATATTGGGGGAAGTGAATCCACGCCGGGAATTCTTCAAGTCACCTTTCTCACGAAGCAAAACACTTCACAGTGTTCATGGCAGGGGCACAGAGCAACGTGTACTAGTAATGAAGCGGCATCAAAGGGAGTGACGAGATGAAC